GGCTATTTCGCACCGGATCGTAAAAAGGGATGCCATTTAGGAATCGGGGATCCTTTCGCCGTCGATCTGCATCCACGGATTCCTAAAATCCTCGAAAAGAAATTTTGGCCCGATTTTTGGCAAAAATCCTGGGGGTTCCCCTTGGAAAAGTGCGAATTCGGGTTTTCCTCAGTTTTTGGCGAATGTCTTGGCTATTTCGCACCGGATCGTGAAAAGGGATGCCATTTGGGAATCGGGGATCCTTTCGCCGTCGATCTGCATCCAAGGATTCCTAAAATCCTCCAAAAAAAATTTTGGATCGATTTTTGGCAAAAATCCTGGGGGTTCCCCTTGGAAAAGTGCGAATTCTGGTTTTCCTCAGTTTTTGGCGAATATCTTGGCTATTTCGCACCGGATCGTGAAAAGGGATGCCATTTGGGAATCGGGGATCCTTTCGCCGTCGATCTGCATCCAAGGATTCCTAAAATCCTCCAAACAAAATTTTGGATCGATTTTTGGCAAAAATCCTGGGGGTTCCCCTTGGAAAATTGCGAATTCGGGTTTTCCTCAGTTTTTGGCGAATATCTTGGCTATTTCGCACCGGATCGTAAAAAAGGATGCCATTTGGGAATCAGGGATCCTTTCGCCGTCGATCTGCATCCAAGGTTTCCAAAAATTCTCCAAACAAAATTTTGGATCGATTTTTGGCAAAAATCCTGGGGGTTCCCCTTGGAAAAGTGCGAATTCGGGTTTTCCTCAGTTTTTGGCGAATATCTTGGCTATTTCGCACCGGATCGTGAAAAGGGATGCCATTTGGGAATCGGGGATCCTTTCGCCGTCGATCTGCATCCAAGGATTCCTAAAATCCTCCAAACAAAATTTTGGATCGATTTTTGGCAAAAATCCTGGGGGTTCCCCTTGGAAAATTGCGAATTCGGGTTTTCCTCAGTTTTTGGCGAATATCTTGGCTATTTCGCACCGGATCGTAAAAAAGGATGCCATTTGGGAATCAGGGATCCTTTCGCCGTCGATCTGCATCCAAGGTTTCCAAAAATTCTCCAAACAAAATTTTGGATCGATTTTTGGCAAAAATCCTGGGGGTTCCCCTTGGAAAAGTGCGAATTCGGGTTTTCCTCAGTTTTTGGCGAATATTTTGGCCATTTCGCACCGGATCGTGAAAAGGGATGGCATTTGGGAATCGGGGATCCTTTCGCCGTCGATCTGCATCCAAGGATTCCTAAAATCCTCCAAAAAAAATTTTGGCTCTATTTTTACCAAAAATCCTGGGGGTTCCCCTTGGAAAAGTGCGAATTCGGGTTTTCCTCAGTTTTTGGCGAATATCTTGGCTATTTCGCACCGGATCGTGAAAAGGGATGGCATTTGGGAATCGGGGATCCTTTCGCCGTCGATCTGCATCCAAGGATTCCTAAAATCCTCAAAAAGAAATTTTGGCCCGATTTTTGGCAAAAATCCTGGGGGTTCCCCTTGGAAAAGTGCGAATTCGGGTTTTCCTCAGTTTTTGGCGAATATCTTGGCTATTTCGCACCGGATCGTAAAAAGGGATGCCATTTAGGAATCGGGGATCCTTTCGCCGTCGATCTGCATCCAAGGATTCCTAAAATCCTCAAAAAGAAATGTTGGCCCGGTTTTTGGCAAAAATCCTGGGGGTTCCCCTTGGAAAAGTGCGAATTCGGGTTTTCCTCAGTTTTTGGTGAATATCTTGGCTCCTTCGCACCGGATCGTAAAAGGGGATGCCATTTAGGAATCGGGGATCCTTTCGCCGTCGATCTGCATCCAAGGATTCCTAAAATCCTCCAAAAAAAATGTTGGCCCGATTTTTGGCAAAAATCCTGGGGGTTCCCCTTGGAAAAGTGCGAATTCGGGTTTTCCTCAGTTTTTGGCGAATGTCTTGGCTATTTCGCACCGGATCGTAAAAAGGGATGCCATTTAGGAATCGGGGATCCTTTCGCCGTCGATCTGCATCCAAGGATTCCTAAAATCCTCAAAAAGAAATTTTGGCCCGATTTTTGGCAAAAATCCTGGGGGTTCCCCTTGGAAAAGTGCGAATTCGGGTTTTCCTCAGTTTTTGGCGAATATCTTGGCTATTTCGCACCGGATCGTAAAAAGGGATGCCATTTAGGAATCGGGGATCCTTTCGCCGTCGATCTGCATCCAAGGATTCCTAAAATCCTTAAAAAAGAAATTTTGGCCCGATTTTTGGCAAAAATCCTGGGGGTTCCCCTTGGAAAAGTGCGAATTCGGGTTTTCCTCAGTTTTTGGCGAATATCTTGGCTATTTCGCACCGGATCGTAAAAAGGGATGCCATTTAGGAATCGGGGATCCTTTCGCCGTCGATCTGCATCCAAGGATTCCTAAAATCCTCAAAAAGAAATTTTGGCCCGATTTTTGGCAAAAATCCTGGGGGTTCCCCTTGGAAAAGTGCGAATTCGGGTTTTCCTCAGTTTTTGGCGAATATCTTGGCTATTTCGCACCGGATCGTAAAAAGGGATGCCATTTAGGAATCGGGGATCCTTTCGCCATCGATCTGCATTCAAGGATTCCTAAAATCCTCCAAAAAAAATTTTGGCCCGATTTTTGGCAAAAATCCTGGGGGTTCCCCTTGGAAAAGTGCGAATTCGGGTTTTCCTCAGTTTTTGGCGAATATCTTGGCTATTTCGCACCGGATCGTAAAAAGGGATGCCATTTAGGAATCGGGGATCCTTTCGCCGTCGATCTGCATCCAAGGATTCCTAAAATTCTCCAAAAAAAAATTTTGTCCGATTTTTGGCAAAAATCCTGGGGGTTCCCCTTGGAAAAGTGCGAATTCGGGTTTTCCTCAGTTTTTGGCGAATATCTTGGCTATCTCGCACCGGATGGTAAAAAGGGATGCCATTTGGGAATCAGGGATCCTTTCGCCGTCGATCTACATCCAAGGATTCCTAAAATCCTAAAAAAAAATTTTGGCTCGATTTTTGGCAAAAATCCTGGGGGTTCCTCTTGGAAAAGTGCGAATTCGGGTTTTCCTCAGTTTTTGGCGAATATCTTGGCTATCTCGCACCGGATCGTAAAAAGGGATGCCATTTAGGAATCGGGGATCCTTTCGCCGTCGATCTGCATCCAAGGATTCCTAAAATTCTCCAAAAAAAAATTTTGTCCGATTTTTGGCAAAAATCCTGGGGGTTCCCCTTGGAAAAGTGCGAATTCGGGTTTTCCTCAGTTTTTGGCGAATATCTTGGCTATCTCGCACCGGATGGTAAAAAGGGATGCCATTTGGGAATCAGGGATCCTTTCGCCGTCGATCTACATCCAAGGATTCCTAAAATCCTAAAAAAAAAAATTTTGGCTCGATTTTTGGCAAAAATCCTGGGGGTTCCTCTTGGAAAAGTGCGAATTCGGGTTTTCCTCAGTTTTTGGCGAATATCTTGGCTATCTCGCACCGGATCGTAAAAAGGGATGCCATTTAGGAATCGGGGATCCTTTCGCCGTCGATCTGCATCCAAGGATTCCTAAAATCCTCAAAAAGAAATTTTGGCCCGATTTTTGGCAAAAATCCTGGGGGTTCCCCTTGGAAAAGTGCGAATTCGGGTTTTCCTCAGTTTTTGGCGAATATCTTGGCTATTTCGCACCGGATCGTAAAAAGGGATGCCATTTAGGAATCGGGGATCCTTTCGCCGTCGATCTGCATCCAAGGATTCCTAAAATCCACCAAAAGAAATTTTGGCCCGATTTTTCGCAAAAATCCTGGGGGTTGTCCTTGGAAAAGTGCGAATTCGGGTTTTCCTCAGTTTTTGGCGAATATCTTGGCTATTTCGCACCGGATCATGAAAAGGGATGCTATTTAGGAATCAGGGATCCTTTCGCCATCGATCTGCATCCAAAAATTCCTAAAATCCTCAAAAAGAAATTTTGGCCCGATTTTTGGCAAAAATCCTGGGGGTTCCCCTTGGAAAAGTGCGAATTCGGGGTTTCCTCAGTTTTTGACCAATATCTTGGCTATTTCGCACTGGATCGAGAAAAGGGATGCCATTCAGGAATCGGGGATCCTTTCGCCGTTGATCTGCATCCAAAAATTCCTAAAATCCTCAAAAAGAAATTTTGGCCCGATTTTTGGCAAAAATCCTGGGGGTTCCCCTTGGAAAAGTGCGAATTCGGGGTTTCCTCAGTTTTTGACCAATATCTTGGCTATTTCGCACTGGATCGAGAAAAGGGATGCCATTCAGGAATCGGGGATCCTTTCGCCGTTGATCTGCATCCAAAAATTCCTAAAATCCTCAAAAAGAAATTTTGGCCCGATTTTTGGCAAAAATCCTGGGGGTTCCCCTTGGAAAAGTGCGAATTCGGGTTTTCCTCAGTTTTTGACCAATATCTTGGCTATTTCGCACTGGATCGAGAAAAGGGATGCCATTCAGGAATCGGGGATCCTTTCGCCGTTGATCTGCATCCAAGGATTCCTAAAATTTTCCAAAAAAAATTTTGGCTCGATTTTTGGCTCAGTAATCAGGATTACTGATCGAAGGATCCTTAAAATCCCTACAAAAAAATATTGACCCAATTTTTGGCCAAAATAATGCGGTAACCCTTGGAAAAGTGTGATTTCTCACTTTTAGTCAGTTTTTGGTGAATATCTCAACCAATTCGCATTCGATTCAGAAACGGAATACCATTGGGAATTTCCAATTCAAACCCACAAAATTGTAGGGGAACCCCTTGGAAAAAATTCGAAAAATTTAAAAACGATATTCAAGCAATATTTTGAATGAGAAAAGTCGCTTTTGCGTTCGCTGATTACTAAATGGTACTTTATTTCCTGATCGGATAAAAATTGGCAGAGCTATGGCCATCGGAAGGTGCAAAAGTGAGGGACGTTTAGAAAACTATGGCCATCGAAGGAGACTTCAATATTTTGCTGGCTTATAAAGTTTCATTAAAAATCTTTCATTTTGGATAATGGGTATCATCCCATGTCCATCTTGACCAAATACATTTTAGGGATTAGCTAGATTCTTAGTCTTAATTATAATAAAATATTAAATAGAGATTGTTTAATAGAGAGTATAATACTAGTCTAAGGTATTGTCTAAATTTACGGGCGCTGGTAGTGGGGACCATCGTCTTCGTGCTCTGCGGCTGCCATCAGCTCCTTGTGATCGAATCCATCTTCGTCCTGCCGCACATTCCAGCCGAGGCACCGCCGTACGATGTAGAACAGGACAAAAAGGAGGAGGGAGACTAGGGAAGCGGTGATTGGCATCACCAGCACAAGATCCAGCTGGGGCTGCTCCAACTGGCTCGACTGCAGCAGGACAATGGGCATGGTCATGTTGAGGACACTGTTCTCCACGGCCAGGGTCAGGGCGTCGGTGGCGGATCGGCAGAGGAGCTTCGACAACAGGTAGGTGGCCAGGTAACCGGCCAAAGGAAGAGAGATGGCAGCTACTAGGACCTAAAGGAAAAAAGGAATTGTGTTATTGGAGACTTTTAATCTTTAGGGATCGGATTACTCACCTGCCAGGTAAACTCCTCGAAGACGAACCAGTTGAGACCCACAGTCAGCCCCACCAGGCACAGACTGAGCACCACGGAAAGCGGTTTGAGGAACCTAAAGATGAACCTGGTGGTCTTGGGCACACATAGCCGGAGGAGAACACCGATGGCTACACAGGCCACCAGAGCAGCTGCTCCTCCCGAAATCTGTCCAAATGGCACAGCCAGATCTTCGTCGTCGTACAGCAGCCTCCCCAGGACCATAATCCAGACTGGCAAGAAAGCCAGCGCCAGGAGACTGTTGATGGTGGTGGTGGCCACCGAAAGATTGAGGTTTCCCTTGCAGAAAACGGTGCAGACATTGGCCAACCCACCACTGGGCGCCAAGGCCGTGTAGAACAGGGCCAGCTGGAGGGGCCACTGCCCCGGCCAGAGGGCACGACCCAGGCCGAAGCCCAAGCCAGGCATTATCACGTACCGACTGACCACGCCCACCACCGGACCCACGGGGCGGCACACAATCCCCGCCAGCCGGTGGAGGTCCAGGACAGTGCCCAGGTTGAGGAACATCAGCAGGGCCAGGGCGGCCGAGACATACGTGGTCACCCTCTCGTCCACCACTCGAGACCTCAGGACGGAAATGGGCAGGTTATCCGGATAGGTTTCCGACTCAGTCCCTTCCTCAAGGGTCACCTTCAGGGAGCTGTAACCAAACCTCTGACCAGTCACTGCCACCGATCCTCGCCAGCTACCCAACTCATCGAACTGATCCTTGCCAACGGTGAGCGAGGCAGATGCCCTTGCCTCGTCCTCTGAGTAGACCAGGAATCTGTAATCCGCATCCTGATCCCTAATCTGAACATTGTATATATGCAGCTCCACTTGCAGGCTCTCCTTCTCCGAGAGTGCCAGGTGCTTCTGGCCAAAATCCACCAGCCAGTTGCCGGCCAGATCGCCGTACTCCGCCCGGATGAACGGAAGACCCGCGACCACGATCGGGAGTATCCAGTGCCATATGCTTGCCATGGTGCGTCGTTTGTCCAACTGAATGACCGAAAACACAAATGACCACCAAGGGCTGTAAACAAAAGGCCTCTTATCTGGCCAATCACCAGACATTCGGACGGAGACCGAGACGGAGACGGAGATTGCTCTTATCGGGTGAGCGATTTCAGGTGCGAAACGGGGGCAGATTGGGGATCGTAAATCACAGGAGCTGTGTAAATATTTTGTTGGAGAAACCAATAGCTAATAAAAACAAGGTCCTATAGAACTATATTTAACTATTATTAATTGAGATTCTTAAATACTTAAAAGCATTTTTGAAAAAAGAGTTTCCTAGTTTTTGAAAGTCAATATCACGGTTGTTTCTCAACCTATTTTTGAAAGGTTCTTTCCGTTCAATTCCGTTGGCATAAGGTTAAATAGCCCTAGAAGTTATTGTGAAGATGTACAGCCTGGACTAACATCATGGGGTTGTGGAAAATACTCCTATTAACCCAGGTGTAAGGGAACATCCAGATGCAGGACAGCATCGCTAGCAACCATATTTCAAGGAGGAGGATCTAAGGTGGAAGGAGACTACTGCGACAGAGGCTCCATATTATCCCAGTATCCTTCGCCATCAGGATCATCTCGGAGCAGAAATTTCGTTTAAGGTATCTATAGTATCTTATAGTATTTTATAGTTAAAGTATATTCGCCTGTCTTATTAAAAGATTTAATAAAAATTTCTTCAAAATGTCCACAACTTGGCCTTAATTTCCAACTAAGAAAAGAAAGTCGACGAGGAGTTCCTTAAAATCTACCTTGAAAAAAGTGGCCTTCTGATTTGGTGTCCATTATTTAAAGGTATAGAGTTCTTAAAGATCGTGTGCTCTATCGATTGGATAGACCAAAATAACGTCCTACACCACCTGGAGTATCCTGAGGGTGTAAAATTACAAAATTATTCATGTTTTACATACACATTTTTAATATTAATATACATTTTCTTACACAACACCTCCATATTTAGATACAGACTGGTGAACTATTTTTCGAATTACCTACTTCCAAGAGATCTCTAGGTCCCATAGATCTACAGTTGTTGAAGAAATCCATAGCTCCTGTTTTTCTTAGGGATCCTTCTTTAAAAACCAAGGACTCTACTGGGTCAGTTGTCCTCTTTCCTTACAAACTGTAAGGTTTTTATAGTGGAATCTAGTAATACAACAAGTTATATCCTAATGCTTATAACACTCTATAACATATAACACGATATATCCATTATAGTCTATAACTTCGTGATAAATATCTCAAATTTTGATACATTTTCTATCTCAAAGTGTAATTTTTTAATAAAAAATATATATATATTGCTTTATAACCAGATCTAGCAGAGATATTACTACATAATTGCAGATCTATAAATATTATACCCCAACTTCTAGTACTATCACTATACTATATAAATATTAAACCCAAATCTGACAAACTACAATTGAAAGCAGTTTTTTTTTGAAAATTTTCTAATGGTACCCCCTATTATAATGTGCCACATATTGATTGAAATTTTTAAAATTGATTGTAAAGATCTTCTGAGGCTGCTTTAAGACCCTTTAGTTAATAGCTCTTAGTTAATTACTTAATATTAACTATTAAAATTAGAAAACTCAGTTTTTTACCATAAATCAATATGATGGTTACCAATCCATACTTTAATCGACCTTTATGATCTACAGTTCCCATTATAGACCCATTAACCTCACCCACCTTCAGGCAACCCAATCTTTCGTAATCCCCTCCTGGACAACTCAAGAGCTTGCCCACTTATCCTAGTTTTTGTTTGGCTTTTTTTATAAGTTGTTTGTATTGCATTTATTGCACTCGATTTGGGTTTTTTCGATGGCTCCAATCTAAAAATGAATAGAGAGTTCCGCGGCTGATTAAGATTAAGCCCCACAATGCAATCAAAATGAGGTCAACGCCTTTTATAGCCAACTAAGGCAACAAATTGATTTACTTTCTCCAGGTTTTGTTTTTTAATCAAGGTCATTAAACAAAAGTTAGTATTTCTCTGTTTTTATTGTGATTCTTTTGTTTTTTTTAGTTGGTAAAAAAAAAACCAAGTCGTTTATGATTCAGCTTTAGACTACAGTATACATCATAGACATAATTATGTTTATTGCATTTACTTATATAATTGGCATACCACACTCCGTTGTTCATACAAATATATATATATATTGTTAATACATAATATATACCATATATGTATGCAGATAGTTTTGCAGGTGTAATTAGGTCTGCTTTGCCCAAAAAAACAATCATCGAATTGCAACTAACTAGAAAAAGGCGAAAATCAAAATTGGAACATGAAGGCGACAAAATAAATGCATGACTTCTTCTCACTGACTTGGCTTGTCCTCTTGGGGTTTTCGGTTAAAGTCGGTTAATCGCATTTTATATAATAATATTATATTTTCTCTTATTTTTCTTTTTAATATTTGTGTTTGTTATTCACTTATCCTCGGGAGGCACAACAAAAGCAGGATAACTTCAACACTCACTCTCTCTCGATCTCTTTCTAATTGGGTACTGTGCAACACTATACTTCCTTTCCTGTTCGCACACGATTTAGAATCGCAGGACTTGGCCTAGTTAATACTTAAGGTGAAAATACTCGCTTCAAATGAAAAGAAACAGTTGGCGTTTTACAAAAATATATATAGCGGGGACTTCACATACATATACACGTATATATATGTAATTATGTATATAAATTGTATATTGTGTATTTAGAACGGGAATTTAGGCTTTAATCGTAATATTAATAATCATTTAAATATATATAATAATGCAGTTGACACAATTTTAGCGCTGTTCGAGCAGCGAAAGAAACATGACATTTTTCATTACGTGGCGGGGAGGTCAGAGTTCAAAAATATCAAACCGGGAAGCGGACCAAAAAAATAAAGGACTCAGGCATACACACGAACACAATCATTCTCACACGAACAGGCACGCACAGGCACAGGCACACATACATCAAAAAAATAGTACATCACGCGAAACTGAACAATTTTCAACTTATATAAACTAGCCAAAAAAGGAATTGCTACAATTTTTCATTCTCGTCTTCAACTCATCAGCTCATCCCACCGGGTGCAGTGTCCTCGCTCTCTTCATCCCACTATCTCTGATCCATTTCTAAACACTGATCTTCTGGAGCTTTTGCAATACTTTCAGGCCCTGCTCCTGATACTCCTGCTTGGACATCCAGAAGCCGTCGCGATCTTTCGTCACCTCCGCTAGCACTGCCCCGCCAATGAAGACCATATCCTTGCGCCGCGGTGGATCCTCGATGCGTATTTTGAATTTCTACAAAAGAAAAGAAATCCATTTTCAAATACATTTTCCTCTTAAGATTATCCTAGCCCATACCGCAAGTTTTTCCGTGTCGTTTTTGAGTACTCGTTCCAGATACAGCTGCTTGATTTCTCGTTCCAGCCGACTGGGCAGACCCGGGTACATGGTGGAGCCGCCAGAGAGGACTATGTGCTTGTACAGCTCCGGCCGTATATCAATATCTGCCGCCTGGATCGTATTGAAGACCAATTCCGCAATGCCAGCACCCTCGACATTGATCAGATGCGGCTGGAAGAGGGCTTCGGGTGCCTCGAATCGCTCGCCACCGACTTTGATTACCCGACCGTCGGGCAGTGTGTAGGACTCTACCAGGACCGTCGTCTCCAGGGCTAGACGCTGTTCCATTTCGATGTCGTAGCCAATGTAGCAGAGCTTCTCCTTCATGATGCGCACAGTCTCAAAGTCAGCGGAATGATTGAAGGCATAACCACGCAGCAGAAGCAGCTATATAGTAAACCATGGATTAGGCCAGCAGTTCAAAAAAGACTATGCCAGGACGAACCTTTATCAAGTACCGGGTGATGTCGCGACCAGCTATATCCAATCTCCGCGTCAGGTGGGGCAGGGCGAACTCCTCGTAGACGGGACAGATGTGCGTTACACCGTCGCCGGAGTCCACCACCACGCCGGAGATGAGACCCTGGGCGTATAGCGTTAGCACTGCCTGGATGGCAATGTACGTGGAATCGAAACCATACTTTTCAAACATCACCTGGCGGGGAGAGCAAGTGCTTGAGTGGATATGGAATCTGGTTTTGGACAAAAACAACACTCACCTCGATCATTTTTTCGCGATTCTTCGTAGGATTCATGGGCGGCTCGGTCAGCAGGATTTTTGTGTTCGTTGGATCGATGTCCATCTTTTTGGGTCCGAACGTATAGTCCCACACGTGGCACATGTCCTCCCAGTTTCGCACCACACCGTTCTCCATCGGATAGGACACCTCCAGGAGGGATCGCAGCTGTGACGCCTCATCGCCGACCATCAGATCCTGGAAATTCGTTGGTCAGATTTTGGTAAGGGCAACGTTAGTGTCCGCTATTTGGTCGCATGGATAGTTCGGTATTGGATGGGGATTGGATTCGGGATTGGGTTGGTTGGTTCGTTCGATTCCAGGCGGGCGATTTATAATTCTTAATTTTTTTTCTTAAATTTTGGCTTAATGAGGCGTTAGTAATTATTAATTCTTATTATTTCCTTTTTTTTAGACATTCACGGGGGTGAGGCGCACACAAAAACAGTCAAAGAACATAAACAAACAAACTAAACTAGGCTAGACGATCAACAAGGCGGAAGGGAAACACTCAACAAGTGGCTAGTGGGGCTCTGGGAGAAGAAGCGTTTAGGGATGGCAATTATTCCTTGAATTTATCGATTCATAAGATATATTTCTTATTATTTCTTAAAAAAAAGTATTATTAATTAGCTAAACTAAGTGAAAATTCATTCAAAAAAAGATTTCAAGATCCTTAAACAACTAATTCTTTTAAAAACGTCTTGGGATGGCAATTATTCCTTGAATTTATCGACAATATCGTTATCGAAAGACTGTACATCACCGTACAAAACTGTAATTGAGTGCACAGAGATTCTAAAATTATATTTCTTATTATTTATTAAAAAACTAGAATTCATTAGCTAATCTAAATGAAAATCAATTAAAATAAGAGATTTCAAGATCCTCAAACACCCGATTCGCCAAAAAGCGGAAGGCGGAAGGGGAAGGGAAACACTCAACAAGTGGCTGTGGGGCTCTGGGAGAAGAAGAGATGGCAATTATTCCTTCAATTTATCGACGATATTGTTATCGAAGGACTGTAATCACTGCACGAGAATGAACATGATTGTACAGAGATTCTTAGAGTGTATTACTAACTCTACCCACATAAAATATACTGAATTAGATAAACTACGTAAAAAATGAATTTGAAGATCCTCAAACACCGCCAAAAAGCGTTTAGAGATGGCGATTCTTTCACGAATTAATCGACGACACTGTTATCGGACGTACAAGACTGAATCGGAGCTTCTGAAGAAGATAATTCTTCTTATTTCTTTAAAAGAATATAACTTTCTGGTTAAAATAGCTAAAACTGAATTTAAATCAAAGAATTCAAGATCCTCAAACACCTGTTGCTCCAAAAAGCGTCTAGGGATGGCAATTACTCCTTGAATTTATCGGTGATATTGTTATCGAAAGCCTGTGCATCTCCGTATAAGACTGAATATGATTGTCCAGAGATTCGTAGAGTATATTTCATGAAAAAAAATATAATTAATTAGATAAACTAAGTGAGTTTGAATTTAAATCAAAGAATTCAAGATCCTGAAACACCTGATTCTCCAAAGATCCTTGTTTTGCGTTGAAACACTTGGGGAGAATAAGCAGAAACACAGATCGTGCTAAATACAAAGGTTATTTAATTATAAATTGGCATGCACTCGAAAAAGCATAGTTATTAAAAAAAAAATAAACACGTAACAATAACAACAACAATAACTGAAATAAATAGCCTTAAAAATATATACACACAAAAAAAAGACAACAAAACAAAACATGAGTTAAGCTGTTAAATAACAAATAATTTTTATAAAATTTCATTTTTTTTTTTTTGTAAAAACAAAGGAATAAAGATTGAATAACAAAAATTATATATATTTTCCATTAAAAAATTGTAATTCTCGAGTATACAGCTTGGTAAGATTTTCAAAACACGCCCCAAAAGTAGGTCCGGATTCGAGAAAGATTTAATTTTTCGGATTTTGAATGGGTGATGAGTACAAATTATGTGGAGAAAGGGCAGCAAATAGTTTGGGAAAGTATTCAACAAGGCAAACAACTATTGGAAAATGTGAACAGTTAACAGTTAGGTAATTAATTAACTATAGTTTGTAAACCTAAGTGCGTAGCTTTAACAAGAATTATTCAAGAAAGTTTCAAAAAAAATGGATTTTCAAGCGTGTCTTTTTTTTCAATTTTAATATTCATGTGTAATTGTAATATAAATTTTTATTATTTAACCTTTGCCGATATTTTTGTTTTGCTTGGTGATTAATTTTTTTTCTTAGTGGTAGTTTGGATTTGGTTTTATTTTTTTTTTTTTGGTTTTTGGTTTTAAACTATAAAAACTTGACTTACATCGACATGTAAATCCTGCAAAATATTTGTTTTCGATAAAAAAATATATGTAAAAAAAGAACAGAAAAATGTATAAGAATATTGAAAAGAAGAAAGAACAGAAAGAGTCAATATTTTCAGTTTCAAGATTGGATTTTGAGGGTATTTTTGGTTTTTTTTTGGGTTCCGTTTGTTGTTGTTCTTGTCTAAATGAAAGGAAACTAATCGGTAAAGTAAACTGCTACTAAGGATCTATTGCATAGCCATAGATATAGTATGTATGTGTATAGGGCCTGGTGGTCCGGTCTTGAAAGATAATTCATCACATCCTGGCACCTTGGTAGCACCCATTAACACCGAGACCAATGCTATATTAGCCACCCATTTAGATGCAACTCAAGCAGAAGAATGCAATGTGATGGTGATGGTGATGGTAATGGTGAGTAGTGGATGGATTCCAGTGACGAAAGAATATCAAAAACAATATGAAATGATTAAGGTTGGTGATTAAGAACGAAATCATAATATTAAGTTGATATGCCACACTAACAGACAGAACAGAGCGAGTCTCTGGGTGGTGGGAGGTGGAGATTATGATATATGGTATTATGATGATCTTCTAGGCTCTAACTAGTCATGGATATTGTAAGATACATCGACAAAAAATGATAATTATGATTATATATATGGCCTGTGCCGGTGTGTATGTGTCTTTTCTGATGTTGCGTGTGTGTGTGTCTTGAAGTGTTGGTTGATTAATTCTTGGAGTGGGTGTCCCTCAATTGGTGACTACGATGGATCATACCTTCACTTCGATGTCACCGATTTTGTTCACCGCCCGGATGATCGGTCGCCCCACCATCGAGGGGAAGATGTGGGCGGGGAAATTGCTGCCGGCATATCCGCACTTGACGAACTGAAATGGTAATGGGATACAGTTTAGTTTACAGACATTGGATCTTATTACGATATTACTATAGCCTGGGAAATAAATATCGAGCAGTCGGTCTATTAGTTGTTTGTTTAAAAGTCACAAAGTATTTCCCAAAGAATGCCAGCTATCAGGTGTCTTTATTTGTTTTGAAAAATTGCACGAGTTTCTGCAGCTGAAGATCGGCACGTTTGAATAAAAACCTTAACATTTTTTGGTAAGAATTAACCTTATTTTGTTATTTTTCCATAAAAACTCGCATTTCATTGAGAAATAATAGTTTAGAATAATCAATTTTTGGTATTGCCTTGATTACTCATTAGGTATTTCAGTGACTAAGTCGGTTTATGCACTTGAAAAAATTTTAATAAAAATTTTGATAGTATTAAGTAATATAAATACAAGATCTAAGCTATTTTTTTAAATTTATTTGTTAACTAAAAATTATTTAATACTTCCTAACGTCGGGGATTCCCCTGAAATAGCATCTCTCTCCAATTAAGCTCTAGTTTCGTTTCTTTCGGTGCTCGGCCTGCTTTCTTTGGTTTATCGAACTCTTATCGAAATCGGGCCGTAATCACAATACAAATTTTTCAGCTTTGCGATAAGAAGTGGAGGTTTGGGTTGTGCCGCCGCATTTCTGCTCTTTTGGAAAGACCTTTCTGTGTGTATTGGTGGTCTCTTGCGTGTGTGTGTGTGTGCGGGTATGCGTAACTGTCGAATCGGTGAGTAATACACGATCGTTTGTAACAATGACTAAACCCCATAGCTGCCGCTTAAGAAGAAGAAGAAACCTAGCCCCCATCCACTGCAACTGCAACCAAAGTTGCCTCCTGCAGCGGCAACGTCAACGCCCGCAAGCAGTGCAAAAAAAAAAAGAAATAGAAAAAGAAAAGAAAAGAAATGGAGGGGAAAAAGCAGCTCTGCTGGAGAATGTGTGTCACGCCGAGATTGAGTGTATTTGGGGGGGCAAGGGAGGAGTTTAAGAGGTAGGGAGGGTATCTATATCTATTGTTATCTTACCCCTGTGCCGTTATCACAGACAATGACATTGCGACCCTTGCTGTCCATGTTGCAAAGGACTCGTACCGGAGGAGGAACTGGAATACGGAGCTCTGTCTTCCACGGCGGCTTCTCTGCTGCTGCTGCTCTCTGCTCTGCTGCTGCTGCTGCTGGTACTGCTACTGTGGGTGTTGGCGCGTTGTCTCCTTTTTTTTTGTGATAAGCACACACAAACAATACAAACAAAAAAAACAAGGATAAGAGAGCAACGGGCGGGATGAGCCAGTGGGCGAAGAGAGCGAAGAGAGGAAAACAAATGTTGTGTTTAGTGTTTGGCTGCCGTCACGCCAAAAACTGGAGGATTGTTGATAATATATCCAAAATATCAGTGCAACACTGTGTTTTTCGAACTCTGAAATGGTGGCAGCGCTGGCCCGGTGTTGCCACCTATCCGCGAAATTGACGAAACATTTGTTGTTCCACTACCGATTTGCCTACCGTTTTTTCACTGCTCGCCGCCCTCCTGGGGGTGATCTGATCTCGTTGGTTACTCCGTGGGAATACTAATAATTTATAATGGCCTAAATTTCGGTCGTTGGGCAACAGCAAACACTATTAATTTCGATTTTAAGCGGCGGCACAAAAACACGGCAGAGACCCACACACGCACACACACATACATACAAAACAGTAAGCGATTAGAGATGGGCCGGCTAACCCCCGGCTATCGATAGGCAGCTTATCGCAAATGCTATTCGATATAAGAGACCAACTTTAAGCCACGCTTTACCAACACTGAGCGCCAAATTTAAAAATCTGAGATAAAAACTGCAGCAGGCTTAAAGTTCGATTCGCTGAAATTAGGAATTGAAAAATAATAAACCCACTGCCATAAAATGGAAAGATTGCTGCTGATTTATTTTATTCCGTTTATATAGTATGTATATGTATGTATAATTTAATAATATAATAAACGTTACTCATTTTGTTATCTTTATAATTGCTTTAAGAGGCGAAATGTCTTATATTTGTAGGTATGTATGTACCATGCTGCCGTCTGTCGTACCATCTTTTGATTCTGCTTGTTTGTTTTTTTTTATCATAATATATATATAGATTTTTAATGTCGAATGGATCCGTAAGTTGGTATATCTCTGGTCTTGATATATTATCAAAATCTGTACTTCCCCCGTAGATTAATTTAAATATTCCTTAATTTTTGTCTAGTTAGAGAGCTTTTTTCATTTTTTTTTTATATCTTTGAGGGAACTAAGCGCGAGTTCTTCGTCTATAATACTTTCCCATATTTGTGGATGCTTCTTTGGTGTTCTCTTGACTATTGTAATATATATATATATATTCAATTCGAGACTAGGGTTCATTTTTTTAGCTTCACTCAGTACTAACTAAATATTTGCGGTTCAACAGTTTTCATTTTTTGTTTAACAATTGTTCTTTTTTTTAACGGAAACATTAAAAATTAAACACTGCTTTACCATCTCGCGTGGCATTATTAATAGTATATAGTTGTGGGGCTTGTCGATTAAAAAAAACGTCTCCATTTATGAGTTCTCTAGATGGTTTTGTCAATTAGTTAAGTAAATCGATTTCATTATCTTGTTCTAGTTTCGTATAAAAGCTAAGTTCCTTCCCAACACCTCCAGTCCTCCAGTACCACCGCCGTCTTGATTTGTTTCCTTTAGCTACAATTTTAAATAATTTTTAATGGTAGGTTGGTTGTTGGTTGTCTTTACGATACGTGCATAGGATCACTAAGAACTAATGGTTTACCAATGTCAACTCTTTTATATATAATATATATATATATAGGGGTGTGTGTGTGTGTTCAATGCAGAGTTGAAGCAAAGTACAGCATTCTCGTATAATTATAAAATATTTAAGTGTATTTCTCTTAATTTTTCTTTGATAAGTGTCCTGGTTGAAGGCATTTCTTGCAGGCATGTGTGTGAACATATATATATATATTTTGATTCGATAGTGATATTCTGGATATCTGGAGAACTCGAACTATACACCATTCAACGAAGGGCGAAGGGTAAATATTGAAAAGTTGATTGCCATCATTGAATTGATCTCTGAAATCCACAGTTCCTCGCCTTATACTTACTTAAATACATCATATTTGCTTTTCATCATAATTCTCATAAATCTCATTAGTGTTTTTAGATCGTGTTTTTTGAATGGGCAAAATATTGATTTTGTTAAATTAATTGATTCAAGTTCAATTTACACGCAGGAATATATTATAATATATGTTATTTTATGTATGTATACATGGTAGTTTATTAGGTAAATATTTGATTTGCTATTTAAATGGTAAACTCGCTCTCTGTGTGTCTCGATTTCTTTTCTTTCTTTTGTTTTTTTTTTGTTTAAAATGCATTAATTAATTAATCTTATTTGTTTTTTTTTTTTTTTGTTTTTATGGTTGTCTGTTAGCCAAGCAAATGATAAAACGCAATTATTTTCGCGCACACACAGTCATAATATGTAACATATTAATTCCAAAGATCGATTATGCAACAATTATACATATATATATATATATATTTAATAAAAAAAAAAAATAATAATAAACTCTTGTTTCAATATTTAATTCGTATAAGGAACATTTACGGACTATTGCGGCACATATTGCAAATTGTTTCAAACTTTTATATATTTTTCTTCTTTTTAGCAAGGTTACATTTCAAGGATCTCTACGGATCGTCCTTCCATTCAGTTTCGATAATTCTATATAATCATATGTATATATGTACGCTTCTCGAGGGGCGCCGCTAAAAGTGTTTTCAACAAAATTAGCTTCCTACTTCCTCCTGCTCGCCAGTATTTGGATTATTTTTTTCAAAATTATTTTTTTTTTTTTTTGGGATTTTCGGTTTTTTGTTCATTTTTTCTTCCGTTTTTTCATTATTTAGCCCACTTTTCGGTTTATACATTACATCTTAGCCTAGGTTATGGGGTTTATCTGGATTTTCTTAGTAAAGGGAATTACTTTCTTCCTCTGGAGATGGGGAGGGGGGGGTGAGGCCGGCGCGCCAAAAAGTATGCCACACACGGCACACACATAATTCTAATATCCAATGTGCGAGCGCGCGCCTGCGTTTTTAAACAAATCTTCTCTAGTGCTTCGGGATCCGGAATCCGGGCATCCATCCATCCGGGCACTATGGAATCCGGAAGCTGGTAGCTGCGTCACCCGGACGCTGGGAGCTGGAGCAGACTTGCCTGCTGTGTTTACTTAGAAATAGAATCGGTTTAGTATTGGTTTAAGTTGTTGCTCTGCCACTTTAAGCTTAATTAAGGTTTTCTTTACCCCCCTTCCCCCCCTGGGTTGGTGTTCTTTGTGTCGCCGGCACTCCACTCCACTGCTCCTCCAGTCGACAATGAGGGGCCGATCGCACAGCTTATCCATGGCCCGCCCCATTGTTGCCGCTGGCCGACTGCTGGCTGTGGTGATCCTCGCTGGGCGTGGGCGGCTGATCCCGCCGGGGCGGCATCCGCTCGTTGACCGCGTCCAGGCCCTTGGCCTCCGCGAAGGAGGTGATCTTGTGGTTGGGCGAGAAGCCCTGCATCGCGTTCTTGAGCGACTGCTTGCCGCCGGAGAGGGCGCCCAAGGGCAGGGCGCCCGTCGGCGTCAGGCCCTTCAGCTGCAGGACCGACTCGGACTCCTCGCGGAGCACCGAGAAGACGCGCGCCATCTTGCCGATGGCCCGGATCTTGTTGCGGATGACCTCCTTGCGCAGCGCCGCCTCGTCGTCGGACAGCGGCTCCTCGCTCTCCTCGGTCATGAGCTCGTCGTCGGAGCAGATGTTCAGCACGTTGACCAGCATCTCGGTGACCTTCTCGCCGACGAACGGCAGCGACCAGGTGAACACGTCCATGAAGTTGGGCAGCCAGTAGGGGTGGGGCGAGCAGTTGAACTGCCGGATGTTCATCACGTTGTTCTCGTACTTGAGCACCGCCGCCTTGTTGTTGTACACGTCGAGATAGTTGGGCGCCGAGAAGATGGTGATCAGCGAGGGGAAGCCGGTGGTCTGGCTCTTGCGGTACATGCGGTAGCCGGCGTCCTGCGCCTCGTGCGCCCGGATGATCGACAGCAGGTTGTTGTTCTGCAGGAAGTCGCAGCAGGCGGCGTAGCTGTAGAAGTACGAGCACCCGCGCACCGAGTTGTGCGTGTAGAAGTCCGAGTTCTTCTCGTTGCCAAAGTCCTCCAGGGGATCGGACCACAGCAGGTCGCACATGGGCCCGAAGGCCGGCGGCTCCTTGAACCTGTCCAGCCGCCTGATGTCCTCCAGCTCGTGGATCTCCGGCGAGAGGCCGCCGTGCACGCAGAGGAACTGCTGGTTCATCAGCGCCGCCAGCGGCAGGCAGTCGAACGCGTCCATGCACGCGTCGTACACCCGCTCCGAGTACTTGATCTTGCACTCCTGCTTGAAGGTGAAGTACTCGGTCAGATGCCGGCACTCGTGGTTGCCGCGCAGCAGGAACAGCGTCTGCGGATAGCTGATCTTCAGCGACCACAGATACAGCACGCACTCGATGCTGAAGTATCCCCGGTCCACGTAGTCGCCGAGGAAGAGATACTTGGTGGTGGCGGGCGAGCCGCCCACCTCGAACAGCTTCATCAGGTCGTAGAATTGGCCGTGGATGTCGCCGCACACCGTCACCGGCGCCTCAATGTCGATCATGGTCTTCTCCTGGCGCAGCAGGGCCGCACCCTCCTGGATTATCTTCAGGGCGGGCGCCTCCTCGATCCTGCCCTCCAGGATGAAGTGTTGCTTGAGCAGCTCGTGGTTGGGCTTCCCGGTTCGCGAGTCAAAGACCTCGGCGAGCGTCAGCTTGTGGCTGGGCGGGAAGGGCACGGAGTCCACCACGCGCTCCTTGGTATTGACGGCCGTGTGGCCGCCGTGGGGCTTGCCCGTCGCCGTGGGACTGCTCATGTTGTTGCTGGAGTTCTGGTTTTGTGTGGTGCCATTGTTGTTGGTGTTGTTGTTGTTGGTGGTGGTGGTGGTGGAGGAGCTATTGGCCGTGGTGGCGTTGGTGTTGGCGGCAGCTGGCGTGGAGCTGTTGGCATCTGTGGCGGTGGCTTCTGTGGTCCTGGCCTGGTTGTTCGAAGACATGGCTCTGTTTTTTTTTTACGGATTTTCTGGGATAATCGGGAATCGGAATCAGACTCCCTTTCTCTCTCTCGCTCGCTCTCGCGGTCGCGCTCTCTCGCTCTCCGAGCTTCCACTAGCACACAAACACAAACACAGTGGCACAATCGCACACTTTCCTTTGGCAAAGGAAAGTTCAAATTTAAAATAAAATAATGTCTTTAATTGTTTAGTAACGATATTAACTAATATTAGTTAATATTTTCGGTTCGCTGCTGCACCTGCAGACGTCGTAATTTCTCTCCTGCGCTGCGCTTTTTTTCGCTCCTACTCAATTTCAATGGAATTTTCACTCCCTTCCATTGGCAGTTGCCATTTCAGCTGTTTTATGGCCAGATCTGGCTGTTTTCTTATTTGGCGAGAGCTTTCGCCAAAATGTTACTGTTTATCAATTTTGGCTTTAAAATCCCTTTAATTTTCGAAGATATGAAATCTGATAACACTATCTGGAAGATTTTCGAAACCTAAACCATACTATTATATGTTTTAAACTGCATTTCTCGTTCACGACAAAGCTATTTCAGCTGTTTTATTGCTGGTTCTAGCTGTTTTCCAGCTGTCGGCCCCAAAGTCCTAACGACAGGTGGCCACACTGCTCCTCCCTTCCATTGGCCCATTGACTATCGTTGTTATCGGAGTAACAGCTATCGGTCCACAGCCATGGAAACTGCAGCTTTTGGTTGGAATTTCATTTAAAATTTTAATATGTTTTAAAACTAAAATACAACGTAATCAAAATTTAAATTTTTGAAATATTTTACTAAAAATTACTTGGCACATCTATTTATTACAAAATGTCTAAATTATATATTTAATAAGATGAACTACGGTAGTTTTTTATTTATTCAACTGTTAAATTTGATAAATCTTTTAGAAAAATACAATTGGAACTTCAAACGAGTTCTTTCCAATTGGGCTTTTTAGTAGGACCGTTGCTGCGTTAGCTGATAACGGTCCGGCAAATTAAATTATAAAACAGGTGGTTCAGAAATGCAAATTTTGTATAAAAGACTTTACCCAATCCATAACCTGTTGCTGAAAAACATTCTGAACTCAAGTGGTATGCTCGACAAATGTTATTCTATTTTCAGATTGAAAAACCAAACCAGTTTGCTGATGCCTTATTTATATCCATATTATCAACCCAAATAATAATCAATAGTTAATAATATAAGTCCAGCTCCTTTCCTGGAGCGGACTGGAAGTTCGGCGATGTGGCATCCCTAATATCCGGTGGCGGCCGCCACCGTTAGATTTGAATGCTGAAATTTGAAATTCCCCGCGGGCCATGGACACTCAAACGAACTTTTAGAGGAAATAATAAATGTGCGCGCATTTTATTCTCAGGATAGGTACTTGTATATTTTTTTAATGTTTTTGTATTGTTTTTTTTTTTGGTTGTTTTTGTTTTTTGCTTGTTTTTTCATTTTTGTTAATATTAATTATGTTAATAACATTGATAATCATTTTGTTTTGTTTGGTTTACTTCTTCCATCTTAATGTTAAAACTTGTTGTTGCCTTCATCCTCATCAACGTCATCATGTCAACGTCATCTCATTCCTCCCCTTCATATTCTTCGACCTAATCATCGTCTCGATTAAAGTTGTAAATTAATTTGTTAATCCTTGGATTGCATACAGTGTTCTTTCTTTTTTTTTTTTGGTTTGTCAGTGTTGTCACAACGGCGCAATTATTATGTAATTTTTGCCAGCCAGCTGATCTTGCAATACCGTTATAAATTTTAAATATACATATGTTATATGTATGTATGTACATACATATATGTATATAATATATAATGCTTTCACTGTTAAATTTGTTTATTTATTAACTTTGGTTTGGTTTTTTTCTTTTTTCGGTTTTTGTTTAATAATAAAATTGAAAATTTTTAAGAGATTTATCTAGATGTGATGTTTTTCTTGTTTTGTTAATTGTTTTTTTTTCTTTTATGTTGCATTATTAATATTATTTTGTTTTTGTTTCGGTTTCATTCTTAGTTTTTGTTTGTTTTTTTTTAATATAAGTATATAAACTTCTTGCTTGACAAAGTTTCTCCAACTTATATTTATCATACATGTTATATATAAATAAATGTTTAAATATATATAAAATATGCATTTAAATTGATTTATCCAAAAGGTAAAGTTTTAATTCTTTTTTGGGTTTTTTCTTGTTTTGTTTTTTTTGTTGTTTTTGGTTTTTTGTTTTTCTTAGTTTTTTTTGTTTATAATATATATTAAATTGTTATTTTTCTTTTTCGTGTAAAGTTTTAAAGCATTCGAGGGCAGGAAGTAGATGTTGAAAAATACATGTATCAAAAAAATTAAGGTAACATATACATACATACATAATTACTTACATACATATGATGAAAAGGTTTTCACTTGCAATGGAGATGATTGGAAACGAAAAGCCAGAAATCTTCCCAATTTTTATCTTTTGTTTTTTATTTTCATAAATATCTATATATTTAGTTTAGTTTAAAAAAAAAATGAAAAAAAAAACAACAATTGGCTAACAAACTGACTAACTTAAGACGATTTTTTGTTAAGTATTTGATTGTACACAGTAGTTCAAAAGCTAAAACAAAGCCATATATTTTGAAATGGAAAATAATAACTCGAAAATGTTCAATGCGCTTTTCTTTTCTCGAGAATCGATTCTCGATTTCTTTGAACCTAGAGTGGAATTTGTTTATATCATATATCTAAATATATATATATATATATATGTATATAGAGTTTTTTGTTTGATATTTTCGTTAAAAGGAAATTGTTTTTCTGTAAATGGTAATTGGTAATTTCGTTTACGTTCTTCTCTGGTATTAATTTATGTCGTATTCATATAGTTAGGCAACTCTATAATCTAAAAAGTTTCAAACCGCTTGCGAGGACTGTTGGTTTATCGAAACACTGCTTTATCGACAACTGCTCCGCTCTTACGGTTTGGATCTTTTTAGATCATGGAGTATTTAATGTTGGTAGAAAATGTTTCGTTAAAAAGTGTTTGTCGCTTTCGCTTTTCCGGGTTATTAGATCATCGAAAAGACAGAGATAGACATAGACAGACAGAGAGAAAGAGAAAGAGGGGTCAAGGTCGAAGTTGAAGAGCTCAATGTTTGAATATTTTTTTTGTTTTTTTTTTGGGTTTTTGAAACAGAGCCAAGAGCAGGATAATTAGAAAAACGGATAATGTAGAGTGGAGAGGGAGAGCAATAACTATAATTTTGCTTTGCTTCTTTTTTAGTTCTTAGGCTTCGTGTATATAGTATAAAAGTATTTGTATGTTTTTTATGTATTATTCGCTTAGTCGTAATATTTTATAATTTTTTTGGTTTTTGGTTTTGCTTTATTCTTCTCATATATGTGTATATTAATTTAATTTCATTTTGGTTTTTCTTTTTATTTATTTTTATATATTTTTTTTAGAAGAGCGCGCTAATATTTTTTTTTTTTTGGTTTTTTCTTTATTGTGGGAACATTGGAGGAGAAAAGTATTTCAGTTATATGCTATATATATACTGGGCTTGCGGTAATTTGTTAAAATTTTTATTCTCATTTACTTTTAAAAATAATAGTAAGAGCTTGGTTGCTGTAATCCTTTATTGGTTGTAATTATTGTTATATATATTTGTATTATTCGTATTCTTGATTTTTTTTTTTCATTGAATCGAAATGCATAAACGTTTTTTTTGTAAATTGTTTGTATGTATGCAAGTGTCTGGGGTGTCAGTGTGTGAGTGTTTGGTGTATGAGTGTGTGTGTATGTGTGCGAAACTCTTAACTTTTAAATCGGTATATATTGTATATGTATATATATATATATATGTAAATATATATAAATGTAAATCATCTGTAACTATTAACTGCTTGATGACGTAGCTGTTCCAAAGGCAAAAAACACGCGAACTGGCCCACTGTTCCTGTTCCTACTGCTTGCTGTGTGCTAAAAAAAACTGTTATTTGCACTGCTTTGATCGCAAACTCTCCCTCTCGCTCGCACTTGTTTATGTAGGTGGTTGTGTGTGTGTGTGTTTGTGTGGCTGAGTGTATCGGTGCCTATCAACATAATTTGAAATGTTATCGATTTTTTTCTGATTGCTGTTTGTTCATTTAATTTTTTTGGTAATTTCGTCCAAGTAACTAAGCTTGCTTCTTGCTTCGTGTCCGCTCTTTTTATCTCTGTCTCTTTTTGTCTCAGCTTCGACCCTTAACTATTTCAAATATATATATATATACGTTCTCTTAGGCATATGTATGTATATTTGTTTATAAAGTACTTCAAATTGCTATAAGTTTGCATTTTGTATTACATTTCCTTTAAACTTTAAACTGGGTTTCATTCTTGTCTTCTTGTCGAATTTGAAAAGATTTCTTTTGTTTTTGTTTTTGTTTTTTTTTTTGCTGCACAATTGTGTTATCTTATTTTTTAACATAGTGTTTCTTTTTGTTTTTAATGGTTGTAAACGTTATTTGGTTGAATTTCATCATTTTTTTTGTTGTATAATTTAAACTTAATAGTTAATTCACATAGTTCGGTTTCTTTTGTTTTGTTAATGATTTTTCCCTTACATCTTATTGTAGAATATAATTATTTTTGTTTAAGAAAACTGTTGCACGCCCTGATCGCGCGCCATTATTTTTTTAGTTTGTTTAAATGGTTTCTCATTTTTGTTTTGTTTTTTTTATTAAATTCATTTAATTAAATTACTTAATGCTTATAGAAAAAAGTGTAGTAAACAATATAAATATACAATATATATGTTTATATATATATATATAGAGAGTTGTAAAAACATAAGCATAATGAAGTAGAAACAACAATTTAGTTTATAAATATATATATTCATGTATTTATATTATGTTTGTGTGTGGGTGTGTGTGTTTTGCTGATTGTGTTGGTGTGGTTGTATATAAATAGTTTACAATAAATAGAAATTATAAAAAATATAACAAGAAATATATGTATATTTAAAAAAAAAAGTGTAATAACAAAATTCCCGTTCGCAGACGATTTATTACATTTTCAGTTAGGCTTCTTCATCTTCTGTTCATTTCTTTCTTCATTCTTAATCCTTTTTGTTTTTTTTTTTTTTGTTCTAATATTTATTTATCCTTTTTCCATTTTGTTTTTCTACGTTCTCCATTATCCCCATTATCGTTATCCACTTTATAACAAGTAACTAAAATTCGATTAAGTATAAAAAGGATTCACACACGTCGACGACGCAGGCGCAAATGCCAGGAAACAGTTATATATCGGAAGGGAGGGAAGAGGAGAAAACGAAGACGCGCCATGAGATTCGATTGGTTATCGATTTCCTCTTTATCGATTAAAAACAGAGTGAGAGAGAGAGAGATAGTTGGGATATGGGGAGGAAGGTGTGGCACAACACTTGCACCTGCATCGCTGCAGCATATGCAAATATATTAATTATATATTCAGCTAATGACTACGACAAAGATGGCACGTATATAAAGACCACATACACAATCACCAGATGAGAGAGTGTGAGGCGACAATGGCGACGATAAACGATAAACGATTACCGATTTAAACGATACACGGTGGGCTCGCATCAACTTTGAGTTGATCGATCTCCTCCCGCTTGTGGTTTCTTGTTCTTGTAGTGGTGTGTGTTATGTAACTGTTTGTGTGTGTGTTAGAGGTGTGTGTGTGTGTTGGTGTGAGAGAAAGAGTCGGATAGTTAGATAGATACATAGATAGAAAGAGAGAGAGAGAGATTCAGTCGTTTCTTGTTCTTGTATTAAAATATTGTAGTAAAATATTGTTGCTGCTGTTGTTGTAGGAAGTTGTTTTGTTCTCTTCATCTATTTCGCTCTAGCTTTCTTCTTTCTTCTTATTTTTTTTATTTAGGTTTTTTTTTATTATTTTTTTAAGTTTTGTATAGAAGTCGCCGCAGACGCCACACAACGAAAGTAGTAGAGTTTTTCTTGTTTTAAGATTTAGTTTAGCTTTTTGTTTGTCATTTCGTTTGGTTTGACTTTACAGAGATGAGAGTTTTTGTTTTTGTTTCGATTCGTTTTACAATTTGTTAGCAAATAATTTAAATTACCTAATTTGCATTTGCTTTTTTTATTCTTTAGCTTTTTATTTTTTGTTTGAATTTGGAAATTGGGAACTGCCTCCCAGACTTGGCTTGCCGCCAACACTGCTTGCTGCGGCGCCCTCCGCACTGCTTACCAAAAGAAGCGCGCGCGTTCAAACATGTTTGCTAAGCTTTTACATTTGCTCTTTTGATATAACGTTGCACAAAATTTTGATATATATGTATATATATAATTCATCCAACTTTATAACTTCTCTCCGCTCTCGGGGTACTGCTTTTTATTGTTATTTTTTCATTTATTCTCATGTGTGGTGTCTCTGCTCTTTTTTTTTCTAATCCCTTCCCAGGCCCGCAGCCGGGCCGCTTCAAATATTTGTTACAAACAAATGTCCTTAAAATTTAAATTTAGTTTTAAATGATTATTTAACTCTTTGGGCCGCGGGCTACGTGCCTGTTATCCTTGCTTTCGTTTTTTAATGGAATACATCCTGTTCCTACTGACCCTCCAGAATGCATCTGAACCGATTATCGATTACCGATTACCGATTACAGAATAGCGGTGGCCAGTGGAAACAGGCTATAACCTGGATGTGTGTATGTGTGTGTGTGTGTGTGTGTTGCCATGTTGTGTTTAAATTTCTTCCTTTTTTGAGCCGAGCTTGAGACTGCTTCTATTTTTAAGACTGTTCTGAACTGTTTGGTGTCTCCCTCCCACCGTCGACTACTGACTGACTTAGCTGCTGCTCCTCCGATCCTCTGGATCGTCCAGATCCTCCGGCCATCCGCCTCCAATTCCAACTCCTTGCTCCGATACAAACTACTGCTCCGATTAGCCTGCAGCTGCACATCCAGCTCTGTATCCCCTCCGCGCCTGACTTAGAATTATCCATTGATTGCATTCGCATTTGCGTTGGCCGCTGCTGCTGCCGCCGCTGACAGTGACTTCTGGCCCTCCTCCGCCGGCGAGGGCGTGGCATCCCGCCGTGGTGGCATCCGCTCGTTGACCGCGTCCAGGCCCTTGGCCTCCGCGAAGGAGGTGATCTTGTGGTTGGGCGAGAAGCCCTGCATCGCGTTCTTGAGCGACTGCTTGCCGCCGGAGAGGGCGCCCAAGGGCAGGGCGCCCGTCGGCGTCAGGCCCTTCAGCTGCAGGACCGACTCGGACTCCTCGCGGAGCACCGAGAAGACGCGCGCCATCTTGCCGATGGCCCGGATCTTGTTGCGGATGACCTCCTTGCGCAGCGCCGCCTCGTCGTCGGACAGCGGCTCCTCGCTCTCCTCGGTCATGAGCTCGTCGTCGGAGCAGATGTTCAGCACGTTGACCAGCATCTCGGTGACCTTCTCGCCGACGAACGGCAGCGACCAGGTGAACACGTCCATGAAGTTGGGCAGCCAGTAGGGGTGGGGCGAGCAGTTGAACTGCCGGATGTTCATCACGTTGTTCTCGTACTTGAGCACCGCCGCCTTGTTGTTGTACACGTCGAGATAGTTGGGCGCCGAGAAGATGGTGATCAGCGAGGGGAAGCCGGTGGTCTGGCTCTTGCGGTACATGCGGTAGCCGGCGTCCTGCGCCTCGTGCGCCCGGATGATCGACAGCAGGTTGTTGTTCTGCAGGAAGTCGCAGCAGGCGGCGTAGCTGTAGAAGTACGAGCACCCGCGCACCGAGTTGTGCGTGTAGAAGTCCGAGTTCTTCTCGTTGCCAAAGTCCTCCAGGGGATCGGACCACAGCAGGTCGCACATGGGCCCGAAGGCCGGCGGCTCCTTGAACCTGTCCAGCCGCCTGATGTCCTCCAGCTCGTGGATCTCCGGCGAGAGGCCGCCGTGCACGCAGAGGAACTGCTGGTTCATCAGCGCCGCCAGCGGCAGGCAGTCGAACGCGTCCATGCACGCGTCGTACACCCGCTCCGAGTACTTGATCTTGCACTCCTGCTTGAAGGTGAAGTACTCGGTCAGGTGCCGGCACTCGTGGTTGCCGCGCAGCAGGAACAGCGTCTGCGGATAGCTGATCTTCAGCGACCACAGATACAGCACGCACTCGATGCTGAAGTATCCCCGGTCCACGTAGTCGCCGAGGAAGAGATACTTGGTGGTTGCCGGCGAGCCGCCGATCTCGAAGAGCTTCATCAGGTCGTAGAACTGGCCGTGGATGTCGCCGCACACCGTCACCGGCGCCTCAATGTCGATCATGGTCTTCTCCTGGCGCAGCAGGGTGGCGCCCTCCTGGATGATGCGCAGGGCGGCGCTCTCCTCGATCCTGCCCTCCAGGATGAAGTGCTGCTTGAGGACGTCGTGGTGCGGCTTACCGGTCCGGGCATCGAACACGTCCGCGCAGGTCAGTTTGCGGCCTGGCGGGAATGGCACACTGTCGATCACACGCTCCTTTGTCGATATTGTGCTCCGTTTGGTCGGGCTCTGTGGTCCGCTCGAGGATGTGCCCGAGCCACCGGCACCAATACCGGATGCTGTCGCTCCGCCTGATCCGGTGCCCGAGCCGGAGCCGGAACCCGAGCCCGCTGCCGCCGTCCCCGTCGTTCCGGCGGCATTCTTGTTGTCGTGTGTCGTGTTGTTGGAGTTGGCCTTTTGATTCTGCTGCTGCTGCTGCTGGACTCCGGACTGCGATTGCGACTGGGATTGGCTGGTGCTGTTGCTCTGCGCCGCCGGCGAAGACATGTTGCCCTCTGATCCTCCAACGACTCCCGCCCTCTGATCCTGATCCTCTGCTGCTATTTATCCTTCGGTTTCGAGGCAGCACCACCTTCTGCTCCAGCACCTGGAGTTCCTGCTCCTGCTACGGTCTGTTCTCTCTCCTATTTTCTTCCGGTGTGCGGTGTGTGGTGTTGTGGTGGTGGTGGTGGTGGTGGTGGTGGCCTCTGGCTGGGGTGTTCTGGTCACTTGCGGCCTGCAATGCGAAATGTGCGGCATTAGCTTTTGCATTTACATATATTCCCGTTAGCTTTGTGTTATATTAATAATAAATCAGGCACACATCACCCCCAGAAACACCCGAAAACCAAAAAAATTTTGCCCACAACCCCTGCCCCAGCCCCAGCCCCCATGTGGCCAATCCTCGGCAGCCTTCCTTTCATCGCCCAAAACGTGAATCACCGAATCGGGAATCGGACATGCGATATGCTCGGCCACAGTCATGGGCACGATTCTAGGAATCGGGAGCCCATAAAAGTGTTGATTCAGTTTTGTTTTCTTGCAAGATTTGTAAACAAATGGGGACTTGTTTACCTTTTAAATAAACTTATTTATAAATTAAGAATTAGACTAAAAAAATTAGACAAACTTTTAATAAAAATAAAGGTTTTTATCGATTTATGGATGGATTTTGGAACTTGATCTGTTTAAAGACTATCCAGTATGACTTTTGGAATAAAAAATATATTCATAAGAATATTAAATAAAATGTTAAATATTATATCTCCCTATATAATAATAATTTATATAATAATATTTAAAGACAATACAATTTATAAGAAAACTTATATTTGTTAAAAACTAAATTTATTAGCGAAGCTAAATTATCTTTAAGTATCTATAAGTTTTGAGGTATAGCCCTAATCTTGGCCTTAAAAGTAAAAGAGCGGGTCTAAGCTATAATATAAATATTTAAAATATTTTCTTAATTTATATAACTATTTAAAATATTTTCATAATAACATTAGTTAATAATATAATATTAGTTAATAACATTAAGTTAATAATATAATAAGAGACTAAGTTCTTGGGTTTTCTGTATAATTATCGTTTTTTTTTATTATAAGCTACAAAATATATCAGTATTTAATCAACTTTATAGAATAAGTTAAAAAAATACTATTGTATTAGATGCTCATGCATTAAAAATATGTAAAATTAAAAAGAGAGAAATAATAAATTAATAAAAATCAATAACTATTAAACAGGAAAATTAACTACACTTTAAAAATATTAAATAAAACAAGGTCTTAATTTATTTAAACCATTAAATCATAAACTAATCTATTTAAAATAATAATTTTTAGAAACTACCGAAAAGAAACCTATTTGCTTAACCACCATTGTATTTCATATTCACAATTAGCATATGTGTGGGGGTGTGTAGCTGTGTGTGCTTGCATGTCCGCCTGTGTGGCATTTTACAGTTAAACAATTCGCCACAATTGCAGCAGTTTATTAGCCAGAAATGAGCAGCGAAAAAAGCCATTTAAAAATACCAACTGCAGCAGTAAATCAAATGCAAAACGGCCACCGACAAATTTATTTTATTTGCCCCAACAGAGTCGTTTAATATTCGAGGCTGTCTAATAAAAAAAAACGTACTTAGTTTAACTGTTTTTAACCTTGACCTGACAGGGACTTTTCAACTTTTTCCAACTTAAAATAATTAATAAAAAATAGCTATTACTAGTCACTAAAATGTAATGAATAATTCCATCAGTTTAAAGTGGTAATCTAAAAAAAGTTACTCATAAAAAAAGTCATTATCTCATTATTAGAGGTTATTTTAATAAAGGAATTTGTACTGACTCATAGAATTAAATTTTTCTTTTTTAAATGATAACCAATTAGTATAAAAATATAATACTAATATTTAATAATAATAATACTAAATAAATACTAAATGGTGCTTCTCTGAAAGATCTCTTAGGTGATCTTAGAAAGGATACTTCTAAGAATAATTTATTGTAGGCTTGGGTTTCAATTTATTTAATAAAATATTACACAAAATTACATTACAAAAAATAAACATTTTCAAAAGATATTATCGATAAAAATCGATATATCGTTTTTAATTAATTTTGTATTATTTATTGAAAACAAAGTCTAAGGAATTTAATTTATTCTTTGTGCTAATACTTTGTAGAATGAATAACCATGTGACTTGAACACTTGGCTTTATAAAAACTACTCATTTGTCATTTTGTGACATCAATCAATTGTCAGCCATTAAATTATAATAGTGACGAACAAAATACGGTTTTAATCGATATATCAAAATATAATCATGCTTAGTTTTGAGGTAAATTTTTAAAATATTATAGAAGATATATATATATATAATATTATATATAAGATAAGCACTAACTAGACTTCAGAAAGAGCCTAGTCCTATAGAAAATATTTTTCATAACTAAACTAAACTTTTAATAATCGATAATATCGATATGTACTGTTTCCCTTATACTGTGTAAAAATCCCTTTTCAGTGATTAAAAAATATACAGACTTTGGTACTTCAATTTTTTATACCACTTAAAATTTTGTGCAGATTGTTGAAATAAATTCAATAAATTCAAAAAGATATAAATTCCAAAAAAAAAACTGATAACTAGAAATACAAAACCAGTGACGAATGATATGTAATAAATTGAAATTATTGGTTTGAAGCTATTTTAAATGTAATCTTGAATGCTACTTGACTGACTAACACCACTAAGGAAACAACAATTTATTATTTCGAATAAAATTTGTCACTTTGCGGCTTTGAAACAACAGTGACGAAAGAAATGCGCCATGAAAAGTGTCGTGTTGCAGTTAATTTGAGGTGTGATTGGCAGCGACTGGGCTGTTGAAACACACAGACACATTGCAACTATTTTGGCACCGCTTCTCCTCTTGATTAATTGCACAGTTTCGCAACTGGGGGCCGGTGGTTGGGGCTTTTCTCAACAATTCCTAGCTCTCCTAGCTGGCTGTCATTTCATTCCTTGCACAAATGCAAATATATGCGGATAAATTAGAAAAATAATCAACGCCGTCTGAATAAATATAGCGCTAACAATCACCGCAGCGTGGTTGCACAAACAGACACAATACTGACTCGCTCTGGCTGTCTGTCTGTCTGGCCGAGTGACGAACCCAACAAGAAATAAAGAACTGAACTGGATGGCATGGAATGGTGGGTGGACCGGGGTATTAGTACTGCTAACGGGGGTCTGCATGTGACGTATTGAATGACAACTGAACTGCAGCCACAAAATGGAAATAATAGGGCCGAAAGCACGTGCGTCTTGCTGCGCCGTCGAGACATCCACCCATCCACACATCCCCACCTATCAACACATCACCCATCCGCCCCGTTGTACCAACAACTTGCAGTCAGCTGCCGTCTTGCTGCGAAACGAACGTGCGATTTGTTTTTTAAATCGAATGCAAACATATTTGAATAATTTGAATAAGAGCTCAACCTGTTGGCCTGACGCATTGATTTCATTTATTATTGGATTCAATTAGCATATCATTTTTAATTCGAAATTAAATAACATTTTTGATGCGAAAGGTGGCATGTGGAGTGGAGAAGTTTCAAGAGAAAGTTGATATTTAAGTCGTTTTTGGTTTGAAACTAATAATGAAGTATTTACCTTAATAATTAAATATTTAGAAAAATCTTATACAAACAAAGTAATTTTAATTACCAAACTCACATGTTTTTGTTTTCCAAACAAAATACCTTCAGAAAAAAAAAACAAATATATTAAATGTTTACCTGAAATTTATAGCCAGCCATAATTTATGACTTAATTTTCAAATTTCAAATCATTTCAGGGCAAAAACTGAAAATGTTACAGCTTAACAGCTTACTAAAAATTATTATTAACAAAAACAGACAAACAAGTTTGTGCAAAAATGTCTAATATTTCAGCAAGCAATTCGAGTCAAAGTTGCGTTTTTATTATTATTATTTTTTTTATATATGAAGTGGATGTGTGTCTCTGGTTTCTGTTTTTTTTTTATGCAAATTCACACAGCTTTGATGTGTGTGCGTGTGTGTGTGCTGATTTTTTAATTATTAAACAAGTTTGCGAGGGGAAAACAACATTTTATCACTGCCTACACGGCTAATTTTCATGCATATATTCCATTTGTTTGCTCATTGTTGGCTTTTTATTGCTTTGCGCATATTTTTGCGTTTACACGATCGTCCCGGGACAACAAAAAAAACAACAACAGCACTAATAATAATAATAATAACAATGAGAAGAAAAAAAAAAACACACCCACAACTGCCTAAAGTATCCGACATTCCGGCCCTCTTCTCTTTTGGCTCAAAATCGGTAGAAAGATACCACTAGAGACTGTATCGAAATAAAGGTTCTCTTTTATTAATATATATGGTGGATATAGTTGACTGATCCTGATGAAAGGTCTTAGGATATACTACTGACTCTTGAAATGTTAAAAAAAATCCCGAGCCTCTTTCTTTGAAAACATAAAAGTTATAAGAGTTTAGAGAGTTGAGTTATAGGGATAGTTATAGACATGTCTTATAGCTATGGCAGCTATGATATAGCCCTGATATACCATATGACAGCCTAGTTCTTTCTAAAAAACATTTTAGAGAAAGTTTCAACCTTATATCTCCTAAAACTTGAGAGTTATCAGAACTCCATTTGCTTAGATCTATAGGATAGATTTAGAAAATATCTTTACTTTCTTCTCTTAAAAGGCCTTAGAAATATAATATGATCTAAGTAGATAGTTAGCTTAAAAGCAGATGAATATAGACTCTCCTTATATCCTCTAGTAAAATAATCTTTAGCAAATATATAATATATATAGGAACCAAGATCTAACACTACCCTCAGTAAGAGTATAGAAGAAAAAGTTGGCCGAAAATGTATTATAAAAGACGGTCGAGGAGACAGACAACAAAAACAGCACCGAGAACCGAGCACCGAAAACCGAGCACCGAGGCTAATGAAATAAAAACTTTTTGTTTACCTCTACAGAGTCTGTGCTACTTTCGGACCGATATCGGCCGGCACAGGCCCCATGCATATACATATATATATATTGTATATATCTAAATATATGTACATATATCTGAAAATCTGTGCGTGCGCTTGTATGGTAATTAAAAAGCAATTATGCAAACGATATTCT